GAGTTTAGTTTAAGATCCCGACACCAAAAGTTCGAGTGTGCCGCATAGCTAAACGCGCGAGAAAAGACAAGGGAAAAGTAAATTGACATGGTTAAAAATCGATAGACTTCCACAAGTTAAATGCACGTTGGAGATTTAATTTGGAACAGGGCTAAAACTAGCATCTTTGAAAGGCGAGGTAAGCAAAGTTTGGGATCCCGACATCTAAAGCGCAAGTGTGCTGCCTCGCTTAACGTGCGAGAACACGCGGGGGAAAAGAAAATTTATATGGGAAATAATATTTAACCCAAGCACTGTCCAAATCGATAGACTTCCACAAGTGAAATACACTTGTGTAGATTTGGGGGAGGGCCGAAACTAGCATTTTTAAAGAGCCCCGTGCGCATAGTTTGAGATCCCCACACAAAAAAAAAAACACGAGTGTCCGCATCGCTAAACGCGCGAAAACACGCAAGTGAAAAAAAGATATAAATGGGCGAGTATCTTTAACCCAAGCATTGTCCAAAGCGACAGACTTCCACAAGTGAAATACGTACTACACCAGTAACTGCAAGTTCACCAACATGTTTCATCTCTAGATTACTCAATCCACGAGTTTGACGATAGGTCTCCTGTGATTATAATTTGTATTAACCAATTGCGTTTTGAGACTGCAATGGCGTTTTGAATCAGAATCGCTCGACCGAGTTACACAAGATACACTGGTAACCTATTGATTATGCTGTTATGTAACTTACCATCTTGAATTTTTTTGCATATTTTACAAATATTGCAAAACATGGCTTTAATTGTACTTTATGGGTCGTGTAAAGCTTGCATGGTATTGTGGTAAAACGTACAGCCCCCATCTTTTTTCCTCGGCGGACTTGTTCAATAACAGAACGTTGGTCACAATTAGTCATTCCGGGGAATGGTTCGGAAAGGCCTTAAAGAATATGTGTTTTCTTCAGTGAGGCTTCGTTCCTCCAGCTTCCCTGTATGCCATCTGTCATTTAGTTTTTATTTAAGTTTGAATACAATTTTAAGTTTTGCTATAATCTGATCGTAATTTTATCTTTGTACTCGGTGACTAGTCAAGAAATTTGTCCGCTCTTAGTGCTATTGGGTTATTGAACGAATTAAAGATATGTAAATAAATTATTTGTGATAATACATTGTTCATGGCTTGTCTTACGCAGCCCTTTCGTTTCGTCCCGGCCAAGGGACTCTTCAGAGACTTTTCTGCTTGGCAAACTCGTCGGGCATCGCGCCCAAAGTCCGTTCGCTAACAAAATGCGATGTAAGGCATTTAACTGTCAACTTAATTGTCAAATAAATTATTGTTCTATTTAAACGCCTTTTCTGATTTTACTCAAAGGCATCGAGTGAAAGTCCTTTCTTTTTTCTAAAACCTCTACTGATCTTAAGGTCGCAATGTTTGCTCATAATCTCCATAAATACTGAGTTCCACATAGAGACGATCGGATGGAAATGGAGAGTTTTGACTAGAATAACATTTCTGCTATTTCTTTGTTTAGTACCTTATGGGAAACGTTTATTTTTGTAATTACTCATAAGGGTTTTTATCAAAAGAACACCCCTTCTTGCCATTTTAAAGAGAAGTTGTCTGGCGCTCATGTTCTTTTGCCCTGTGAGTCGACTTTCTTGTTGCTCTCCAGGTGCTGGACCTCATATTTGGTTCTGACTTCCCGAAAGGTTCCTTTACAAACAGCAAGAGAGCCTTGCGAAACCTGTTGAAAGATTAGATCACATATTGATCGTTGGACTTAATGAATTTCACTGTCAGAAACATTAGAACTGGAGTTTGTGAGGAAAAAAGTGATGCTTTTAAGATGTACTATGATTGGCTCGAGAAAATTCGATTTCTAGACCCTTTGAAGGGTCAGATGGCACATGAAACAAGACTCTTTTCCTGTTAAAGAAGTGTTGGTACAAAGCATTAGAACATCTACATCAAATATAGAGTGGTTTCAGTTGAATGTCGATAGTAATCAGGCAATTACTTTGGTTTTGGTTTTGCTACGGTTTGAGTCAGGTTGAGTAGTCTAATTGGCCAGTTATTGGTCTGGTTTTGGTTTTACGACACTCAATTGAAAACCGCCCTAATGCCGTAAACCAATCAGCGTTTTACAACGGTAACTGCGGGGGGTATGAATAAAAATCATTACATCAAATTAAAGTTTGTTTTGCTAGCTGAAATAAATAACTCGAATAACTAAGATGGACACAGTTTTGTCCCCAACAAAGTATTACGTAAATTTTCAAACTATACCTGAGGCCCATTTTCGTACAATTTTGCATTCATTTTAATCCTAACTATTTAATCAATTCAGACCGGTTCGATGATGGTCGACAAATGAGTCGTTCCATTTAGTGTCTCTTCGTGTTAAAATGAAAGCCTTACTACAAAATTTGAATTAGGACTTTTGGATCAGCCAGCTACTAAGATGAATATAGATGAGTGTTTTAACGGGTTTGTATCACGATAATAGGAATAAATGACTTCAATCGATTATAATACATGGAAGGTCTGCTGGAAAGTTGTCATGCTGTACGGTTCGTATACTTCCCTGAATGGAATCGGAACAAATTATCTACAATCGCTCACAAGTGACAATTAATTTCTTGTTGAATATCGATACTATAACTTTCACAGTCCTCACAAGATCGATAGAGAAACATTTTCCTTACAGAAACAACTTCGAAAATTTTTAAGTCGGATCAAAAATCGAATCGTCAAAACGAGTAACCCCCAAAAAATTTATAATGAGACGCGATATACATCTTCAGACGTGCAGACAACCACGTCGGAATTTGGGTGTACAAAATGACGTAATTTGGTCTCAAAATGTGTCGAAATTTGAAGAGCTAGTGACACCCCCATCTTAAAATTCCAAGTAGGATCCGGTCCCTGGGCACCATGTCTTGACAAAAGCAAATGCTGCGGAGGAATTATGCGATTTCAGGCTGAACGTAAGAGGGCGGAAGAAAAACTACATGGCCATGAAATGCTACTTTGTACTGGATGTGGTGGATTTATTAATAAAGGTTACTGAACACAAGACGAGTTACCTGCGGGTCTTTAGTGCGTAGATGATGGGATTCACCATAGTGTTCAAGTGCATGAGAAAAAACGCAAGGAAATGAGGCCATGTACCATGACTTTTTGAAACCATGTGTAAAAACATCGGCACAACACCCATGGCGACGAATGCCAACACGGTCAAACCGATTGTCTCAGCCGTCTTCACGTCGCTCTTAACTTGTTTTGTCACAGAACAGAAATTCGACAGACGTCTGGTATGGCGTCGAACCGAACGCCTAATGAAAGCTCCCATAATCAGCATCGAAGCGAACGGAACCAGGTAACCAGGAATAATAAAATATCTTCCAAATTTCTTCAAATAGTGTTTCCTGTACACAAGCACTGGAGCGTCACCAACTTCAATGTCGAGTCCTAATATGAACATGCCATATGTATAGGCAGCTGCTAGGAGCCAAACAAACAACACTGCTATCTTTGCCTTGTTGATAGTTTTCCATGAATGGTAGCGAAGACCGTGCACTATGGCTCCGAAACGATCCATTGTTAGAACGGTGAGGTTGAACACGGTCAGATACACAAACAGCACGTACCAAGTGACGATGAACCACGAGATTGGTCGTCCCTTGAGGTAAGGCACTTTACAGATGTACCACACGATCATGAGAGGCATATTGGTCAGTGCATTGAGGATGTCTACGACTGCTAAGTTCGCGATTAAGACATTAGGCACTGTTCGAAGAGACTTGAACCGGACGAGCAAAAGGCAAATTATACCGTTTCCAATTATTGATCCGATCATTACCAGAGCAATCAAGATGATGTGCGAGACTCTTTCTGCATCACGGCAAGAGCATGTTTGGATTGTCTCATTCATCGCTCTCTTCTGCTCGTGGAAATCAATTTAAGACATCTTCCTTTGCAGTCCGTATCTGTTGATGGTAAAGAAGGGCGGATTCCATCAAGTTTCCTTCTCAGACAATGGTTCATATAAACAAATGTAATATCGCAGGATGTACGTATGTTTACTGAACCATACAGAGCAGATTTCACTTGAACGTCGAAAGCAATTTGCATTTGCTTTGGGGTTGCATTACTAGGCTAAGAACGTGGCCTACAAAACTCGTGCCTCTTTGTCAATCAGAAGTAAAACCAAAACTAATAGTGGCTCGCTCGCACGCGCTTCCCGTCAGCTACATGTATTTGCTTGGAGTTTTGATTGATTGTGTCGTTTGTGATTAGCTGCGGTGATTGCTTTGGTTATGGTTCAGGTCACAGTTGTTCGAAGGCTAGTTAACGCTATCCACCTGATAAATCGCTATCCAGTGGATAAGTGTTAACAAAACAAACCACGCCATCCGTGGATAGTGATTTATCCGGTGGATAGAGTTATCACCTTTCGAACAACCCGGGCCAGTACGACACTCAATTGAAAACCACTCTAAGTGGGGTAAATGGGGGAAGGAGCGTATTGTTTATGTGAAGGCAGAATACTTAATTTAAATTGAAGTTTGATTCTAGCTTTCAATAAACCCTCTGTTGTAAGCATTTCCTTCCATTGATATCCAACACCTTGTTGCTGTTTGGTTGGATTTTTTTCTTGTTTTGTCTTTTTTGCTTTATCTTTCTGTCAGTTTTTTTTTTTTTTATCAGAAACACTGTTAACGATATTCGCCAGGGCATCTTGCGCATACGAAATTCAACATCATAAAATAAAGTCTCTTAAATATCTAAAATAAAGGCTCTTATTATCCAACTGCAGCGAATACCGTCCAAACAACAGTGCAAATACACAGCGGTATTGTACAGTTATTTGTACAGTAGAAAACCTGTTTGACGGAAAGGTCGGTGCGCGCACGCAAACCTGTCACACTCTCTCTTTCACTGAAAATTTATTGACTACAGCAGTTGGATAATAAATCTCTTATTAGACGTTTTGGTGTGTAGTATCGTGTAGTATCGTGTAGTATCGCCCTACGGGCTCGTTACAATACGACACAACTGGTAAAAATATACAGCGATGCAACACACGAAAACATCTAGAAAGATATATTTACTAATTCTTACTTACTCAATATCATCATATTTACGCCATGTTACAATTAACGAGCAATAGTTACTGTCTACAAAAATTTGAGATAACTAGTTTCTCTCAACATGAATGCCAGGAGGAATGTTTACATAAGATAGCTAGAGGCTGATGAACCAAAGACGCAGTAAATGTTAATATAGGATTATTAGATCTCTATGCAACAGTTAAATGAAGTGTTTTTAAACCAGTTCCTCTGAATAAATTATCCCATTTTACGCATCGAGGGACTTTGTTGATTAAACGGCAGAAAACGCCGCAAGCCCTCGGTGGGCTGTTATCGTAAGCACCTTCAGTTCTACGAATGGCCTTCACTTGTGTCATAATGACTACAGTTATATTGCTATCAATGTTACCTGGACAACGTTCTTGTTTCTGGTAACAAACACAATATCGAAAGCTTTACTTAATCTGCCGCTTTCTTTCAGTTATTTATATTTTGAATGGTATCAGTATGCGGGGGAAGAATGCTTTCCGGATGTTACGTAACGTCCCGGCGATACCCGGAGTGAGCTACAAAAAATGCTATGCCACTCTTTTTTAGTTTATGTTATAATGATGGCATGAAGCAAATGCCTAATCATTGGTAAAATAGTAATGGTCATTTTCTTTATATAAACAGCATAACAGTTGAAAACAGCATTTTTTTGTACTCTTAGCAAAAAAAAAAAAAGAAAAGAAAAAAAAAATCCAAAATGAGTTTGGTAGACCCCAATCATTTTTATCATCTAATTGTAACTAGCATGTTAGAACGTAACTTTTTAAGTATTTCTGGGAAGGGATTAAAAGTCACTTCAATTTTTTTGCACAATTTGAGGTAGCTCTGAACCCGCTCCCAGAAACATTTTCAAACTTTTAAAAACGATAAGTCTTGACATGATGATTAGAAAAATTCTAGAAACCATTGAGCTATCCGACTGAGAACGGAGCATGTTCTCCGTTCAACTTGGCAATCAGGTCAGATAACAGCCGATAATCTCATACCTTATTAAATGTTAGTATTCTTGAGTTACCAGCAATATAGTGCTCCGGAACCGTGAAGTGTAGAAGCATTCACACTGAGGGAGAAGTATATCTGCAAAATAACAACTCAAGAGCACTTGAAAATCCGACGAAGCAATGTGGAAAACGAGGGCTCAACACAGAACATGGAAAAATTTACCCATTTCCGGATCTAGGTTATTGTCGTTTCAGTGGAAGGGCTAATGTGAATCCGGCTATTGTTAATCACGAAGTCAATGTGGTTTGTCCTTTAATTACACTATGAACTATAGACGTTAAGTAAATTAACATGACAATTTTTCAATTCTTTTTTTCACACAGTCACGTCTCTATCTTAATTATAGAATGTCCGGAAGACTGACAAAAAAAAAAAAGAAAAAAAAAAATTACCATACCTTTGTAAAGTATTTTGTTGCTGAAAGAAGAGTACTTTTTGAGCACTTTTAAAACGTCTTCTAACCATGAAGGCCGTCCACTCTGCATTCAGCTTTGAAAAAAGGCAAAATAATTACAAAAATAAAGGGATTAAAAGCCTTATCTAGAATACAGCACGCCAGCCTGTCATTTCAACCTTAAAACGATCTCTCCTTCTCAAAAGGATTTAACGTCATGCAATTCATTCATTAATAACTTATTGCCAATATTTAACAAAGAGAACATAACAGAGGAATTTCAGAGCACCAATGCCATTAATATCACGAATTCTTAGCTTTTGATTTAGCATCAATAACACGTTATTTTTTAAGTAGATAAGAGCTCCAATTCTGGTCAGTTCCGTTTTACGAACCAAAATTAGAAACAATCCCACAGGAATGTGTTTTTCTTCCAAAATGAAAAAAAAAAAAACGACAATTTTAAAGCCTCCTATGGTATTTAATGGCCTGTCAATCACAATAGCTCAAACATTTTCAGTGACACAGCAATTCTAGCTAGTATTAACTAGCTCAACCGAATAGGTCCTGACAAAATGTCCCACAGACAAGTATTAAAACTTCGCAAAAATCAGTGGTATACTCTAAGGAAAATTTTGTTCACTCGTGGCAAAACTCTTAGTTGGGGCTCACATGGTGACTATGACGAAAAAGTTGACGTTGTTCAATTAGGGCTAATTAGCCGTGAGGCAAGCATATTAGAAAAAGTTCATTAATCTTGTATAGAGGATGCGTTTTGTTGCCAGAACGAAATGAAACTAACATGATGCATGAATTCTCTGGAGGCGAGCGAACCAAGACTAACATTTACCAACTGCTGTTTACTTGAGTATGGCCAGAACAATTTACACAGTAAAAACCGATGCAGATGTCATTATTATTGCATATTGACTTGAAGGTGGTAAAAATTCCTTTGAAATTTCAAACTTTTCTGAAAATATTGCAAAATTATAGGTTTCGAAAACATGTGAGACACATGTTGAACCCCATCGCAATGCTGGCAGATTTCAAAATGTTATACAGTATACAGGGTATTTCGATTTTATATGTGTCTTTTGCCTATGACTCATCAATATTACAGTTATTGATGACGTCAAATACAATATCTGTAGTTTGTGTGCATAATGTCTGGGATTTTGATTTAAAGCTCACACGACGAAGGAAACTGTCATGCATGTAAAAGGGCCAACTTCTTTCCCAGGTTTGTTAGTCTTCCAAAGAAGAGAAACCCAGGAAACGAGGTTTGTCCCTCAGTGCACAATTCTGTCGTTGTAACACAACTTTCTGATTGCTTTTAATAATTTGGTTATTGAGAAGAAAGTTCCTAAGTTTTCAAAGAAGATTAATGCAGTATTGATCTTAAAATGCCCGAATTCCGAACCTGTCGAATTCAAAGGCTTTTTGTTGCAATTTTGAAAGGGAAGGAATGTGGGGAAAATATTACATTGATGACGATGCAATAAACATTTCCAAGATCATTCAACTTCTTGATATCTCACATTCTCAACATTGACTCAATCTCGTTCCCAGGGCCTTTTCCCTGGCTTTAGGGCGGGGCACTGGTGTACAGTGATTTGGGTATCCCCGTGTTTTAGGTACCCCCGTACCCAAATCCCTAGTGTTTTGGGTACCCAAAACACTGAAAGCTTAAAACTGGGGCAAGTGAAATCATCCACAATCCTGCTCAAAACCCATTTATCTTCTTATGAAGCTTTGTCTCAATCAATTAAAGCATGCTATGGCTTTATATAAACACAATACGTCTCTTAAAATAGTCGCAATTCCTAACAGACTGTCTTATATCCGAGTCCGCAGTTATAACGACATACAAAACCGGATTCACGCGCTTAAGGTCCTTGTACAAACATGCGCTTGGTGCCTATCGATAACCCTTGAAATGCACGTTATTTTAAACGTGAAAGGCGCTTTTTAAACCTCGGATAGTGCGATGACTGAATTTAATCAATATGCGAACGAGCACGCTGAGATGGGGTTGTCACGCAATATGCAGGTCTCAAGCTGCGACTGACCTCTGTGTATATTGCCAGACAGAAATAAACTTTGTCTTAGACTTGGGTGTCGCTCTTTCCTTGACCATCCCTCCTAGTAGATTTTGCCGGCGAACAATTCTCTTTGCCATTAGAGGAGTTTTTTCTTTCGGAGACAAAACCAAAATAAATCTAAATAAAGTAGACAAGGCTAATCTTTGGATATAGGGAAACAAATAGAAGTAGGATACCCAAATCCCTAGTGATATGGGTATCCCCTTCCGAAGTGTTGGCTTGAAATCATTTCTTTAATTCAGGGTAGCCAAATCCACCGAAGATAAAAGGCAAAGCAAACTTACCTAGAGGAAAGGTAATTTCAAGGGAGGAAAGGACTTTAAAAATGCCAAAGTGTTGGGGATACCCAAATCCCTAGTCAGTGGTGATATGGGTATCCCCTTCCAGAGAGTTTGTTTGTCCTCGTTTCTTTAATTCAGGGTAGCCAAATGGACCGAAGGTTAAAAGGAAAAGCAAACTTACAAAGACGAAAGTTATTTCAATGAGGAAAGGACTAGAAATGCCAAAATGTTGGGGATACCCAAATCCCTAGAGATATGGGTATCCGCTTCCAATATGTTTGGTTGTTATCGTTTGTTTAATTCAGGGTAGCCAAATCGACCAAAGATTAAAGGGAAAAACAAACTTACACAGACGAAACTTGCTCCAATGAGGAAAGGACTAGAAACAGCTGTAGAAAGACCAAAACGTTGGGGATACCCAAAACCCCAGCGATATGGGTATCCCCTTCCAATTTGTTTGGTTGTTATCGTTTCTTTAGTTCAAGGTAGCCAAATCGACCGAAGGTAAAAAGGTTTGCTTTGCCTTTTAAGAGCTTCTGCCTGAGAGACTGGGGCAGACTTGGAAATGAAGGTTGACCGATTTCGCTTAAAATTGGTACACAAAGTCGTTATGTGGACTTATGTAATATGCCAAAGTTTCAGCTTCAACGACGTTCTTTTGGTCGAGTTCTGGATATCAGCCCCTTAGGGGTCCTCAGAAGCTGATTTTCAGTACAATTTTGGCCACTTTTCAATCTCTCTTTTAGCAACGTACAATTAATTTCAGACAAAAACAAAACCATGTTTGCAATGCCCTATTCTGTGGCTTCCATGGGTAAAAACATTAGCGCGCGGGAATTTTTCCTTAGCCTGTGGCTGTTATCACAACTTGGTCCTATTTGAAGCATTTGGGAAGCAATCGGAAATGGCCTGTTTTTCAGATCGCATATTTTCCATGCCCATGTTTTATATCCTGAAGTCTTAGTACCCCTGCAAAGTTCACCTCGTAGGTAAGTAATATCAAGAAAAAAATACTAAGGTTGAGGCCTTTTTACTAAGAAAAAACTTACGAGAAGATGACTAAAGTTTCAACAAATCATGTCTGTAAAAATCAGCCATTTAATTTCGATTAATACCTTTTTTCCTTCGAAGTCATGAATTAGAGACTCTGAAGTTAATTGTAACCAAAAAGAGTTACCGTTAATCAGAAATTTTCATGTGATTTTTTTTCGGTTCGATCAGATTTTGGTCCATTAACGGTTGTAAATTTTGTGGAAGAAGTCCGAGTCATTGTGGAAAAAAGATACATACATATACCTAACAATCCATCTCTTGCCGGTTAATCACAATGCACCTCTGCATCTTTTTTGGTCCAAACTGCAATATTAAGTTTATCTTTAACTT